TGATTTCACATTTTTCTCTTTTGCTGATATTATACTCTGAATTCTCAACACAAATTTTCACTCTTCCTTGATCTGCTTCCTCACTCAGCATTTGCTAATTCTACAAACAGTTTCCCAGACTCTGTGTCAGATGTTTGATCTTTATTTATTTGTAAAATAAGCTTTTAAAAGCACAGATACACAGAACAGTAAAATATTTCATGACAGAAGTATTCCTTCAGGCTGCAAGGTGGCGCTGTTGTTAGCATTGTTGCCTCGCAGCAAGAAGGTCACTGGTTCGCATCCCGGTGAGGACACTTTGGATCTTTCTGTGTGGAGTTTGTATGTTCTCCCCGTGCAGCGTGGGTTCTCTCCGGGTTCTCCAGCTTCCTCCCACACAGTCCAAAAACATGTTGAGGTTAATTGGTGATTCTAAATTGTCCGTAGGTGTGAATGTGAGTGTGCTTGATTGTCTGTCTCTAAGTGTAGCCCTGTGATAGACTGGTGACCTGTCCAGGGTGTCCCCTGCCTTCACCCTAAGTCAGCTGGGATAGACTCCAGCCCCGCGACCCTAGTGAGGATTAAGCGGTGTATAGATGATGGATGGATGGATGCATTCCTTCATTTATCTTACATCACATTATGTTGTAAAAGACACCGATTTTGTGAAATGTTGTTTGCAACTGATGAAACACAATACAATAAATCCAGCTGTTAATATTTTATAACACCACATGTGGCGTTTATATAAAAGAAGCATTAAGTTTTTCTTTTTTTATTACACTGAAGTCAAATGGTGCACCTGAAGGTTGTTTGAAATTAAATGCTGCAGTAACACAGGTATACACCTAAAGTTGGTAAGAGACAGATACAGTGACATGATTAGTAAATACTTTGACAAAAGGCTTGAGGAAAACTAAAATGTTTATAAATGATTAATCAGCAGCTTTGGTGATTTTGGGACACATACACAAGTTTGATGCTGATAAAGTTTGTTTCTATCCTGCTGCCACAAGATGGCAACCCTGCCTTTGTCACCACAAGACAATCCCTAAATACTCTATCAAGGTTCATACAGTGCATCCAAAGTAGAACCAAATCTGTTAAAATTACATGGTTTTTCTTTTAATAGTTTATATTCATGTTTCTTTGTTTTCAACAGGAGTTTTTCTAGATGTACTATATGTAAACTCATGAATGCAGAGAAGTAAAATTGGGACAATTACACTGCAAGAGTTGCTCCTAGATTTAAAGCATTGTATCCTCTACAATGCATCGCTCACAGCCAAGAATAAAAACACAAAATGCATATAAACAGCAAACTCACTATGACATTGAATGAGATGAGATTAAAAAGGAATAGACTACAAGATTTGTCAGTTATTCAATTATTTTCTCTCAGCTTTAGTGAACTAAAAATATAGTCAACCAAACAATACCTTCATCGGACGGCAATCTAACTGGTAGGGGTTAATCATTTCTTTTAACAGACTGACAATACCTACTTTTACTCAGTACTTTCTAAATTTCTATGAAGCAGTAACTGTGTATATATAAATAAAGCTTTACTGACTTACTCTGAAAGCAAACTGTTGAGGTTCAAGCACTTTAGTGAGATGATTTGAACATGGAATACAATCCGCACGTCTCACTAAATAATCCTTATGGTACTTTTCTTAGTCACTTTACAAAGAAATAGAACATGAACCACTAAGCACCGTACCAATTCAATATCATGTCTGATCTATATCCAAATCTATTTCTGTGCTGAGTGGTGCCCAGGCCTAAATATTAGCTGTCAGCACTTATGACTTGTATTCGTTCATTTGGATGGCAGACGAGTCACAACATTAAAACCACCTGCTTAGTGTTGCAGAGGTCCCTCTTGTGCTGCCAACATGGCTCTAATCTGTCGAGGCCTGGACTCCATAGATCTCCGAAGGTGTCCTGTGATATAAGGATCCAAGACGGATCGGGTGGGGCCTCTATGGATCTGACTTGTTTTGCCAGCACAGATCAGGAGAACCACGTCAACACCTCGAACATTCCTCAAACCATTGTTGAACAGTGTTTGGAGTATCTGTGAAGATTCTCAGTCATCCAGGTCGTGGTTATTCTGGTAGATTAATCGTAGCAACTGGACTTGCTTGAGTTCCTTGAAGACGTTCCACCTCTCATCCAAGAGGCTTCATCAGCTCTGACTGACCAGTTGGGAGTTCCAGATACTTACATCCTAAAGGAGCCTTTAACACCTGAGTTTCGGTTTCAGTTGGGGGTTTGTTGCTCCTCCCCCTTGTTATATGGGTCGTTAGTACTTCCCTTCCACAAACGGGTTTGTTGGGGTCTTTTGTGGCTGGGTGTGAATGTAGTTTCATCTTCCTGGGGAGAGATTTGGAGTGTACGAGGAAGCATTATTCTGCTAAAAGAGGCAATTACCAACAGGGACTACCATTGCCATGAAGGGGTGTATGAGGTCTGCAGTGATGTTTAGGAAGGTGGTATGTGCCAAAGTAACATCCACATGAATTCCAGGACCCAAGGTTTGTTAGCAGGGCATTGTCCACAGAGTCAGCATGGACTCTGACCAGTCTAAGGGCTACTCAGTCCCACACCAATGATGTTCTCACTCTTTTCTTTTATAGCCAGGATGAAGTATTTAGTGATTTGTGCTACTGTAGCTTTTCTGTGGGATCGGCAGGCCACTTTTGGTACCACTATATACCAGGAACTCCAGTAAGATGTGGTGTTTAGGAGAGGCTCTGACCCAGTCGTCCCAATACATCACACTCCTCGACAGATACCATTGTAACAAGATAATGTTATTAACTTCACCTGCCGGTTTTAATGTTCTAGCTGATTGGTATAAATTAGAGTTTATTACACCTTTTAACCATGTTCTCTGTGGTTGAAGCCTGGTCTGAAACGTTTAATATCATCCTGTTAGCATAAACTCCACCACCTGCTGTTTCAGTCACTTGCAAATAACGTGTAGGTAAAATAAAAAGCTTTTAAATAGTCAGGTGCGTCAGCTGGAACAGTTTACTCTCTTTAGTTTACCCTCGTTATAGTACAAGTGGTGTGAGTCTGTGAGACTTTCAGACGTTTCTTCTTAAGAATCAGTTGAATCACACTCATTCAGCCCAGATGCCGCAGCGAGTTATCATATCCTCACTGTGGATTGCTTGCAGATGACACAGCAGCGACCTCACAGGAAAGGTCCATGTTGACTAAAATAGTGTGAATCACTCCTGGCAGAAGAATCAGTGCTAATGCAATTCTCTTTCATTTCCTTTCATAAGCACAAATTAGATCAGCATCTCGGAGATGTAAAAGCTAATGTGTTCGGACTGCTGGTGATTTCCTCAGAACTCAACCTCAGCCCCGGCTAACTACTATATTACTCACACCACTTCCACTTCCCATTACGCCTCGTGTCGCGCACTCATGAATGATCTGACTCCAAGAGGTGACCTCATGTGTGAGGTGCAAGTGACTATGAATGCTCCTTTGAGACATTTTAATTGTTCTTTGGTACACGGTGTAAGACGTATTCACCAGTCCAGCACTTGAAGTGTTGTAAGGGTTGGCTATAATAAGAGATTTGATTTATTTTGTACAAAGAAATAAACTCATTTATTTCTTGCTTTCTTTGTGTATTGATAAAAGACCTTGTGCTACTACGGTGCTTTCAAGTCTAATTGACAAAAACCTTAACAGCTTCGCCCATGGCTGAATGAACTCGTTAGGAGGCCCTGACGCAAATTATTTTAGTAATACTAAACACTGGGGCACAAACTGAAACATACAGAACTTAGAACTACATTTTGAGATTTTTTAGGACAGGCCCTAAAGATAAAAAAAATAAAGGAGGGCTGGTGTCTTAAGGCCTTTACAATGTCAGTTATTGTAAAGGCCTTTACTTACTTACTTTTACTTACTTTTGTCAATTATTCTGAATTACTCCACACTCTTGAGAAGAAGAAAATGAGCAGAGTCCGTGATCTTTGGTCCACTTGTAGGTTTACTTTACACTATGCGAGCTGGTCTCGGGAGCAACTACAATTTGTCACAGAATGCATTCACTTAAATAAAATTCTTTACCCTGCCCAACATACATCACAGGTCCACTAATTTATCATAACTACCTGATCCTCCCTTTGTGTTTAAGAGCTGCATGTTGTGTTTACATCAAACCCTCATACAGTCTCTATTCAGCCTGCCTTGTGTCCAGGAGGCCTTTTGGAGCGTCTCCTGAGCAGATAAAGTGATGCAATGGAGCTTACAAAACAATCACAGCTGTCTTGGAGAGTTCACACACTTCCTCTTATATTAGGATTTTCTACACTCTAATTATTTACCACCATTTTATGTAGCTTTTGTTATTCTGCATTTCTATATGTATACTAAACACATGGTTCAAATGACCTAAATGGTGAAACACTTGATTATATCTTTCCAAAGGTGAAAAGTCGCAAACAAATTATTCTTTTAATTTAATTTTGGACATTATCCTTGAATTTTCCATGGTCCTGAAGTTCAAGGGGCACTGAGTCATTATCTGTCCTCCCCAGCTGGTTCTGAGTCTGTAACTTGTGATGATAATAATAAAAGGCACATCGGTGGGAATAATCTGATTACTGACAGAGATGACTGACAACTCTCTAAATATGAAATAACAGTGAAATATAACTGTCCTTGTCGTCCCGTGGTTCCATTCATTCCTCCGGCTGAGCCTCTGCTGGCCTTCTTTGACATCAGTGAGTCAGTGGTCCGGCCTGGCCGGGATACCACCAGCATCACTTCACCTCTCCACGTTTCCAAGTAGCAGCCAGCGGAGAGCCTCAGCCTCCTCTCTGCGCTCATTGGTGGCCGGGGACGCCCATCACGGGGAGCCAGCTGCGGGGCATTCCCTATCCGCGTCGTCCGTCGGAAGTGGACGTCCTCTCCCGGTGCTCCATTGGACCGAGCCGCTGTCAGTCGGGCTCCCTCACGGTGAGCGCAGTCCGCCTCTCCGGCTCTGTGTCTGCTGAGACCGCCGTCATATTGGTTGCTTGAAGCAGGAGCGACCACGGCAGAGAAGAAGACCCCCACCATGATGAAGAACGGGCTTTCGCGGCATTTAAAGACTAATTTAGCTTTTAAATAATTTTTGATAAAGGTTTTAGGTAGTGTATTTTAAAATATTCGGGATGATACCATCAAGTATCCGTGTACCTTTCGTGCTTTCATCCGACACCGTGGTCCGCAAGGGGGATATATGCCTGACTTCTCTTAATAGCCATTTTTTGCAGACAAAGAGAGCTGTTGAATAGGGCTTTCAGGAGGCACGAGGGTAAGATATGACTTCTAGAAACAAACCTTTACTTGTCAAGCATGTCACATTTGTACACTCGGTTTATTTAAGCAACACAACACCGCCTAGTTTATTTGTAAATTTTTTGTGTCGATTTTTTTTCACAAGCTAACATGCTAACACCGCTAGCTGGTTAGTTAGCCAATGCTAACTAAAACGCTAGAAACTCCCATTCTGGGGATGCTAACAGTTAGCATTTTTTGACAGCTCGTAAGCCTGAACCGTAACTTAACTATATCTGTTGCCAACTAACAGAAGACTGTTTATAAATTGTTTCTTGAAAATATCATGTGTCTGACTGAAGTTATCCAGGTCGTTTGGGAAGTGTGGACAACGTTATCTTAGCGGCTGTAAGCTACGTTTAGTGGTGTGTCGGGGCTGGCTGTGGATATTTAACGGGTTAGCAAGTCAGCTAACTTGGCTGGGACCAGGGAAAAGTGGGGCCTCCAGAAACCTAAAGGCCTTCCAACCATTTCTGTAGACCTGCTATGACAACGCTATAGCTTGATAATTGTGTGTCTCTTCTTTTGGCATTGTTAATAAGACATTTTGTGGTCTGTCGTGGTAGCTAGCGATACTATAACGGAGCCGTACTATCCGCGTTAATCTGAAATACAAGACCACATTAAAACGATGGCAGTGGAGGAATTGCTGGATAACTTAAAGCAGTTAACTGTAAACGGATTTAATCTTTAAATGCATGTTAAGTTTGTTCGTTGTTAATTTGACGTGGCTAATATTTTTTCAGTCTAACCTGAATGCCTTTTGATTAATTACTGAGTGCAAATAACTAACAGAGCTACACCAGGGTAGAATAATTATTATACAAACACAGTGTTGATACACTTCTACAGAGCAATGCACAGCTGAGTTGCAGGACTGTGGCTGCACATACTGACTCACTTTGAAAGGTATATTTTAACATAAAATACACTTTTTTTTTAAAAAAAGAAAAAAGTGTGAATTAATGTGAAAGATCAACATTTCTATTGAGTTGTTCATTTGTTGAGATTTAAATGTAGGAACTAAAATCAGCATGTTTTATCAGGTATTTACAGACCCTGCATGGCTTTCTGCCATCCCACATATCTTTCAGAATGCGAGGCGCTGCAAATATCTCATTAACTCTGGTCTGGTCTGGTCTGAGCAGAGAAGGCGTCCTCCCTTAATCTTGTCTTCTCTCCAGCCCTCTCTTAGATCAGTATGATCCCAGGAGAATGGGTGTGTTGGGCTGCCGGAGAGCAGAAGTAGCCTAGTTCTGTTTCAGGACGGCTCAAAATGGATGTGGACTGGATCGCACTCTTGGTGTAGCCATTGTTATCAATGGCAACAGTCACAGAGTTGTTAAGGACAACTGTCTTACCCTTGAATTAGCTGTGCATCAATAATTGTTGACAGAAATCTGCACTATGAGATTCCCTTCTGTTGTGTGTCCCCTGGATGTGAGTTGTATGACCTTTTAGGTCATTATTTTGACAATTGTTACGTTATTTCCAATAATATTTGTAATACAACAGTGATGCTATTGAGACATAGAGTGGTCTGTACCACCATATTTGCATTGACTTAATGAAAGGTAGTAATTGTTTGTTTGTGTTGTTTTTTGTTGTTCTTTGTTGCTCAGTCAGACGTGATTAGTATTATTGTTGTTGTGAGTTTTGGATAGCTCCAGGAGTGTCTCTTGCTGTATGTGCAGTATGCCAGGTGCTGCGTTATTAGAACAAGGAGCAGATCAGCTAAATAATACTGCAGCACACGTTGGCAGATTTTTTTAATTCTCAGTAGTCATTCTTTAACATTCATAGTAGATCATACATGCCAGTTTTCATGGTGCAACTCCCACATTCAGTCTCCTTCTCGTCAGGTTAATCTTTTGAATTCTTGCTACTTATTGTCAGTTGACATTTGAGATAGGTAACGGTGTCTTTGGAAATGGGTTAAATGTGAAGAACAACACACACTTTATATATTTTATTTAAGTGTATGTATGTCAAGTGTGGCCAAGAATGTGGTGGAGAGTTCAGATATAATCGTACATGGGCACAATTACTAGTAGTATAGTTACAGTGATAGTTTTTGATAGCCTGGCCCTATGTAGTCAGGGGTATTGTTCATTGGAACTTCTCACTGTTTGTGTTCTTTAGGTGATTAGCAAGCTGAGGGATAAAACACACCAACCTGGATGGAAAATCCAGGCTCTCAAGATGTAGCCGATCTAATATTAGCCTCACAATTCCAGTTCATCTGGGAGGGAATACAGCAGGGTGTGAACGGGCAGTTTTAGATTGTAGATCAGTGTTTTTGTGTTGACAGCAAAATTGCAGCATCAAGACAAGTGCTTGCAAATTGAGGTTGTGACTGGTGAGACTTTGTGCTCCAACAAAAACTTTTGTCAAAAGCGAGACAGTTGTTTCCAAGTTTTGCTTTCTAAAATTGAATTGGCTGAACAAATAGTTCAGGTTCACTTTGAGCCATGTTGCCCCTTTGATGTAACCTTTGAGTGCCTGTCTAAGTTAGGCAATCAAAACCTAAAGTATTTTATTAGTAAGTCTCTTAGTATGCTATCCAGGCAGAAATCATACTTGGTCCATTCTTTCAAAACTTGCTTAAAAATTCCTAAAAGCGTATCTGTGCCTTACCCCTGATTGGACAAAATAAAGAGAGTCTATCAATATGGACATATGTTATTTTCAAAAGTTTAAATAATGGATACAAGATGTCTCCTCCATCACTTAAAATCTATTCTTAGTGTGCAATTCAGATTTCAGGTTACCACAACTCACCTGTCCCTATTTGACCAAGACCCACTTCCAGACTCATTCAGATGGAACAAATCCTGCCTGTAATCGAGCACTGAGAAATGTTCCACTTTTAGCAGAAGAATCTGAAAACAACAACCTGAACATACGTCACATATATCTCTGGTCACAGTGACATGTTTTATATGTTTATGTTTTTATATTTCCTCCTAGCTAAAAGTCATTTTTAATTTGTTTCATTTGCAAATTTTAGTTAAAATTGTTGTCAGTGGTTGATTTTATAGTATAGCAGAGTATGGCTTAACAGATTGTGGAATTATGAATGTTAAAATGTTTTGGTGAGAGTAAGAACTTCTAGTCTCAGCCTTTCAAATATTTTACAACCTGAAGAAGCTTGCAAGGAATGGTAATAATTAGTTTGATTATCGATCAGTCTGCTAGTTATTCTCTCAAGAATTTGGTCTATAAAACCTCAGAAAACGGGGGAAACTGTCTGTCACACCATCTGACAGCATAAAGGTAACGTCATCTAATGTCAGATATTCTCTTTAAAGTAATGTAAGACCAAGAAGAGAAGCCAGTTCACACTTTACAGAATCTGAAACCATCATACAATTTTTGATAGACTTGGCCTTATGAATGTTTGACAAGGATTCAGAAACACGAATAGCAATCTTGAGTGAAAGAATCATGTCATTCAAGTAATTACTGTGTATTTTGGTATTTAAGCTCTAAATTATCTCATGCTTATGGCAAAAATGTTCGATTTCAGTTAGAAAAAGGCATTTTAAATTTCTTACTGATTTATTTTTAATACATACACGGGTGTTCACAAACTATACTACGAAGGACCACTGACAGCATGTCATGTTTCCAGTGGTGGGTGTTTGCCCAACGTTGCTGAATTTGGTGATGAAATTTAACAAATCGTCACTGTGTCATTACAAGCCACAGAAATGCCGACAACATTTAAAAATCAAGAACATTTAAAGGATGAAGAAAATGATCTGCCATTTTCAATTGATATTAATGACAGTGAAAGCAGATACTGTGAGAAAAGGAAATGAACATGAAATTTAGATGCATCATAAATTCTGATTATTTTGTAATCCGTTGTTGGCCACTGCTAGCAGTTTGCTGAGAAGAAGTGCTCTGGGAGAGAGTGAGTGTGTGTCAGTGATGACATAGGATTCATTGTTTAGGGCAGAGAGGAAGTTTTGATGAAACAAAACATTCAAACCAGTTCAGTGATTGTAATTTGTACCTAGTATATTTTGAGAGTAATTCACTTCAGCATACAGCAATGGAACCCATCAGGACAGTGACATTTATGAGTTTGCTAAACTGGCATTTGGTGCTGGAAAGCCTGTGGTTGCTTGGCTTTGGATGTTGTTAGAAATGATGTCTAGTTTATCACCGGAGCTCTATCTCAAGCCAGAGGTGACCAGATCAGTATGTAAAATAATCTGCTGTGGATTTTTTCTTTTTTACTGGAACTACCCATTAAAGAAAGACATCCAAGAGGCCACTTACTGAGACTTATCGTGCAGACACACAGAGAGCTCAGAGTGGAAGATAAACCACAGCAAATTGGTCATGTCACATTTGGTAATGCAGCTTGATTGCATCGATACAGTTGATATTGCAGGTCGTTTTCCAAGTGTATGCACACATCCAACAATAATGACTGTCAAATGGAGAGACACTGCCATCTTTTTTTGACAAAGCAAGTCAGTAAGTGGGATGACTATGGTCTGGGTCTGGCAGAGACAGCACGAGTATGTTTGTAATAGACTTGGAACTGCCCTTTGCAAATCAACTTAATAAGTCATGTGCCAAAGGCCAATCTGGTTTTCTGTGCATCACGTAACTCTGTCTGTCACAGCTGACCGTGCAAATCCATAATGTCTTTATCAATATTTGCAGGCAGATTTCACTGTGCGTGCTGGTTGACATGATGCCAGGTAGTTGGGTGGTAGCCTTTAGCCCAGAAGCAGACTGTGTAGTTTGTGAAAAAAAAAAAAGGAAAAGTGGGAATGTGGTGGACCTGCCACAGAGGGACTAACATCCTTTGTTGAATGCCTGTAGCTTAGTGAGCAGCACATGCAATTAATGCTGACATGGTTAGGGATTTAAATTTTAAATGAGAACTCCCATAATTGAAGAGCATGTTCTTGTAAATATGGTATGATGTGCTGCTTGCATTTTTTTTAAACTATTGCTGCAATTACAGTATCTTTCCGTTTCCTTAAAAGTTGATTGAAAAAGGGATAGAAATGTTGACCTATACATTAGTGTGAAAACGTGCAAAGCTGTTCAGTTGAGAATATTTTGCATTATTTCAAGTTTTTAAAATATGTGGCTGTTTCCTGCTAGTATGTGTATCCCAGTAAATTCACAAGGTCCAGAAACTCTGTGTGCAACAGGACAGGAAGCGCTGCACTATGGAATCCTTCGAGGCTTTGTGTTTGACAGGCCACCAACCTGTGGTGACTTTGCACACTGTGAAATTTGTGTCATTCAATTGCAGCCTGGTGCTACTACTTTCAAATGCTTGTCAAAATCTCACAGTGTGATAAATCAACAGCATATGTGAGTGTGTATGTGTATGTACATGTACATGTGCCCTGTCTGCTGCTGTTACAGGGAAAGTTTTTGGTCAAGTCTAGACTGGCTCTGTAATACAGTACATACCAGCAGATCAGCTGTGAGCAGATCCTGGGTTCATTTATAGCTGTGGCCTTGTGTCCCTGCACGTCTGCCTGGCAACTCCTAACTCTGCTGTTCCAACTACTCAAGCTCACCCACCTCTCAGACACTTTGGCCCTGTTATGCTCTCACCATGTCTAATTACTAGATACACAGTAGTCTGGGGAATTTAAATGTAGGACATTCTTTATGTACCTTCTACTTCAGTGTTAAATGTAGGCGCCATTGCTGTTGTGAGATTTCTTCACCTGTGAGTTAATCAGCTTTGTCTCCTGTTATCTTCAGGTCCTAGGGGCTCCTATTAATGAAGAAAGTGGGCAACATGTGGAGCAACCTGAAGAGCAGATGCCAGACACTGTTTCACAACAGCAGTTCAGGACCCAGTGAAAGCAGGGTTGAGGCAGACACTGTCCACTGTGTGGTGGATCTTGGTCAAGGAGGCAGCTCAGGTGAGGCTCAGGCATCAAGAGCCTCCAGCCCATCACGGAGCCTCCTACCAGTGCCAATGGTAACAGCAGGACGCCGCCATCATAACTGTGTGTCAGACATCCCTCAGATCGTAGAGATCACTATTGACAAGGACACTGAGGATGTTCGGGGGGGCTCGGGGGGTGTTCCTCTGGCCCGGAGAGACTCCTATTCCCGTCATGCTCCATGGGGGGGCAAGAAAAAACACTCATGTTCCACAAAAACCCAGAGCTCTCTGGAGGCAGATAGACGGTCTGGGCGCTTACGAGGGAGTGGAAACCGTAGGGACAGGCGTTATGGAGTCAGCTCCATCCAGGAGATGAATGACTCTGTATCCGGAGGACGTAGTCTGAATGCTCGGTCTTTGCGCCAGCGGTTAAGTGATACAGTTGGGTTATGCTTACCCTTGCCTGCTCGCAGACGCTCCCGCTCCTCTAAGAACCCTGTCACCTCGAAACGTAAGATTCACCTGACAGAGCTCATGCTTGAGACCTGTCCCTTCCCACCAGGCTCTGACCTTGCTCACAAGTGGCACTTGATCAAACAGCACACAGCACCAGTCAGCCCGCATTCCTCCACTGCCCTTCTGGATGCCTTTGACCCAGCCCACCCCTCACCTGAGGATGAGGAGGAACGTCTGCGTGAGCGCCGCAGACTTAGCATCGAGGAAGGTGTGGACCCACCACCTAATGCACAGATCCACACCCTGGAGGCCTCAGTGCCAGGCTCCTCTCTCTACAAACTGGGACCAAAGATGGCTCCTGGCATGGGAGAGGCCTCTGGGGAGGGCCGGGTCTCAGGGGCTGGCAGCTCTGGGTCTGGATCATCAGGGGCCTGTGCTCAGGTGCTGGGGGCTGCAGCTTCAGCCCAGGACTGTGACTCTGAGGAGGATTCGACTACCCTATGTCTGCAGGCCAGGAGGCCCAAGCAGAGGCACGCCTCTGGGGATGGTCACCTGAGCCGGCAGCAACCTGGGCCCTGGAAGGTTCACACTCAGATAGACTACATCCACTGCCTGGTGCCAGACCTATTGCAGATTACAGCTCTGCCCTGCTACTGGGGCGTAATGGACCGCTATGAGGCAGAGGCACTGCTGGATGGACGGCCTGAGGGCACCTTCCTGCTGCGTGATTCAGCCCAGGAGGACTACCTCTTCTCTGTTAGCTTCCGCCGTTACAATCGGTCCCTGCATGCACGCATCGAGCAGTGGAACCACAACTTCAGCTTTGACGCTCATGACCCTTGTGTTTTCCACTCTTCCACCGTCACAGGACTGCTGGAGCACTACAAGGACCCCAGCGCCTGCATGTTTTTTGAACCGCTGCTAACAGCGCCTCTCCATCGGACCTTTCCCTTTGGCCTGCAGCACTTGGCACGAGCTGCCATCTGCCGCTGGACCACTTACGATGGTATAGGCTCTCTGCCGTTGCCCCCTGCCCTGCAGGACTTCCTCAAGGAGTATCACTATAAACAGAAAGTACGAGTTCGCTGGCTGGAGAGGGAACCGCCACTCAAGGTCAAATAGGGCGGGCTTCTCCATTGTCTGTACACACACTGCAGGAGGATTACAGAACTTTAGAAATTCCTCATTAGCCAATTGGAGGCTCTACTGACATGGCTTTCTTTCTGGTGGGGGATGGAATTTAAGTGTAACAAGCTATACAAGATTCATTCTAATCTTTGTTTTAGTTATTACTTACATCACAGAAAATACATATGATTATATTCAGTATAACGCTGTCTGGCAAGCACATGTTTTTGTGTTGTTTTGACAGGGAGCGAAGGCACAAATATCAGTGATTTGTGTCTTTTCTCTCCTGCTTTGTGCTAAATGTCTGCCTGATCCCACAACATCACCCTGCCTGTAGACCTGCCTGCATGCCTCCCTTGTTCATCCCAAATTGCTGTTTAGGCCCACATGGCTACGTTGTACAGCTCACCTTGTGCTTTCTCTATTTTTTTCTTCCTTAGCTTGTCAAAGCACCTAGTGGAGCACCTTCCCAAGAGAAGGTGTGTGGGTTGAGAGGGCATCTGGAGGTGCTATTGATATATTGCAGTCAGAGCTTGTCCCATGGATAGAGCTACATAAGACACATTCTTTGCCATCTCGTTGCACACATGAGCATCAGCCAGAAAGCCAGAGATGAGGACAGATTCCAAGAGGGTCCACAGAGTTCAGGACAGAGCATTGGGGAAATAAAGTGCTCTCTAAGGACTATAGATTAGTTCTTAAAGAACACTAGTTCCTCTTTAAGCAGTAATAGTGAGCAATGAATAATAAATCAGTCTACTGTGTCCTATATAGTGAGCAAGCTAAACTTGTCAGCTTCATTCCTACTGTGTGGTATTGCTTTTAAAAAAATTAGGGACAGATTGTAAAGAAATAATCTGACAATTCTTGCCATTGTTACAGTTGTCAAAGCAGTCTGTCAGTTCTTCACTGGCCACAGTACACTGTTGTGCATATATGCACCCAATTCTTCCTAAAAGAAATTTAAGTTCACATTTAGGCAGCCTGCTGTCTATTGCTTTATAGTGTTATGTTTTTTATATGCTTCCTTAAGCTCAGCATAATTAAGTGGTATCTGCTATACAGAAGTCCTGTATATTCAGGTTGGTTGTTTTTCTTCACCATGAATTTTAAACATTGGCACAGCTAGCTGTGCCCTTTGTTTTCAGTAAGGAAGACTAACAAAGTCTTTTCAGAGGGATTGATGAAAATACCTGTTAAAAGTGATGGGTGAAGACAATCTATGACAATTCTGAATACCAGTATCTTTTTAAACATGTTGATTGGGCTTCGTCATGGGAAAAGTTCATAAAGTCAAAGATCATAAATAGGAAGGGCAGCTAACCTCAAAACGTTAGAGACTTAAGCATCTGCTTGATAAATTTGGGAACTACAACAACAAGTGTTGCAATTTCTAAAAACAAAGCTAAATTCCACACGTTGTGACTTTGTAGTACAGGGTCTCAACCACAGCAAATCTTTGCATTGCCCGGTTGCATTTATTGTCATAGCTCTGAGTGAAAGCAACTTGGACCGCAAGAAGTTGGACTAACCATGACAGCTGTAGCTATGCAGTCAGAATGATTTTAGTTGTGTGGCTTGGGACAAAGCACTGCTGGTTAGCCTGTCATTTCTCCTATCGTCTCAGCGCAAAGACAAAATACGTGTAACCTATGTGCCTTTTTAGATAACCATTTGTCTTGTTCCATAATCGGTTGCTTTATAGTTCAAACCAGAAGCAGGTGGTTCTTCAACACAGTCCACTTGGATGCCATCAAATGAGACTGACGAGAATAATAATGAAAAGGTGCATGAGCTCTAAGCTCACTTACTTATGGTGCACGTTAAAAATAACAGATAAAATTTTAGTGGTGCTATGTTGATTAAGCTATGATGGATTATTGAAATAGGTTGTACATTAGTTAGATCTGTTCTCACTCACTATGCATGCATTTGTGTCTCTGTATGGTAGTAATAGGTTATTAGTGGGTCCAATACCAGCTGTGCTGCTGTAGCATATTTCAGTGCAAGATATCAATGTCCAGCCCTCACATGTATAGGGTTTAGTCTGCAACTTGACAAACAGATCTAGTGAGAGGACATGAAGGTTAACTCTTTACTGTGAGCATGTTAAACTGAATAATTCAACTTCTGATGACAATGCCCAACTCGGCCATCAGTGTTAAAAACCAAGTCATCAGCAGCAGTGTTTGTTGTAACTCCTAATTAGTAGTACAATGCAATAACTGGCTTTTTAAAAAGTGACATTAGTTGAACTTTTAATAAATGTGCACATGACTGTAGGGGGATGAGATGAGCAGCGATATGAAGAGGGGTTCCCTTTCAGGATTTTAGCAAAAATATTTACAAAGAATATAAACGTAATTCACTGGAAAGTATGTAGATGAATTCCTGCCTCTGGTGTGCAAAAAAACTAAAATATTTAAGCTGAAACACGCGTGAGATCATGATCACTGGGAAGGTTAATCTGTCAAGTTGAAAACTCATACTTCAGTTAGTGAGTGTGCGCGCTCATGTGTCAGCCCACACACCCGATAGAGGATATTCTAGTTCTCATCAGCGAGAACAAGTCATGAACAAATGTTTCTTTGCTCATGAATATCTGAGTCTGTGACCAAAGCTCTTGCACACATCTCATTGTATTAACTAGTGGGCTAAAACCTATTGTTGTATTCAGTGGTGTTAGACTTAAGCTAAATTATAATTAAGCTTTACAAACAAGTGAAGGTTGCTTCCCTACTGCGGTATTTACAACTTAAGGATGCTCTTCTTTTTCATTAATACGAGAGTCTACCTGTGTCAAACTTAGACCTACGCTTTAATTTATTGGTAGACGTACTTCGGCTGCTAAACGGATTTCATGTATTTATCAGGCAGGTATTTATTTTGCAGGTTGGTGAAGGTAAAATCTTTTCACCGACCAATATTGACTTTTTTTTTGCCCCGCATTCTGAATTGATCAAAATTTACTGACAATTTCCTCAAATCTCTCTATTTCCAGAAGTCTGAAAAATGTTTCGCTGGCCCACACTTTGTTTTCAGAAAGCTTGAATACTGCATGTTAATCCACCTGTATGTGTTAAAGTGGCAGGCGTGACTTGTTAAGAGGAAGGGAATAAGGCTGACATTTGAGTTGCTTGCATGTGCACTTTTTATGTTTCAGGATTTTTAGCATCCACACTGAAATATATATCTGAAAACCCACACACATCATACATCACTGTACATGACTGTCTTTCTCGCTGCCACCTGTCTCTCATGCTACTGCCTGGCAATAGCATACAGCTCCTTGCAGTGCCCCATCCCACTTGCAGGCACTGATCACAGGCTGCCATGTTAGGATATACATTTACTGGGCACTATAAGGGCCACTCTGTGTTGCCTTTTGGCTGATGTGTGACTAAGGGAGGCCTTTTTTTTTGTTATTATATCCAACTGCTCTCTCTCTCTCGATCTGGCCACATCCCTGACACTGTACTGTGATGCAGAGTAAACTTGAGGCCTGGTTGTCCTGTCTTTTACTCTCCATTCAGTCGTGTTAGGGCCATGTCAGGCTGAAGTGAACGTTAAAGGAGAGATGGAGCGGGCTCACCGAGGGCCTCGGCTTCCTGTTGTGGCAATGGCGTGCTCACAGAGAGGGCAAGGGATTTGTCGAAGTAAATAGCACTTTAATTGTGTATTTGTGTTCTACAGTGCAGTCAGCAAGTATTAGGACAGTGACTTAGTTTTTGTTTGCTTCAGCATATTGGATTTGAAATGACAACTGAGCTTTGTGACAGTTAAGGGTTTGAATCCACATTTGGTGCCCATAGTAGGAATTGTTGCACTTTTTTTGTACAAAGGCACCCAATTCTGTGACACAAATTTAACAACTGAAGTCATCATCATCAGTGTTGTGTAATGAATCCCTGCTGATCAATTGAATACACTTGTATGAGCAGACAGTTTTGTCTATAGTGATGTTCTGCGAGGCCTGAATCCGCCATCTGAGGTCGGACGACTGACTTGGCCAGTTAAAAACATTGTGTTTTGGCCCTCACTGGTTGCCTTCTCTCTATGTCGAGGATCACTGTGTGCCCACTTTGATCTAAAATTGGGGAATTGCACTATCCACAACCAGGAGGGATTCAAACACCCCCGAACATACTAACAGAGAGTTCTCTTGTCTTTGTTTGATTACCAATATGCTGCACTACAGACCCAAAACAGCTGAAAAAAAGTCCCACTGTTTTAATACTTGTGGCCGGCACCGTATGTGTGTTAGCTCAAGACGGCGAGACTTGGGTGAGTGTTGAGAAAGAAAGAAAGAAAAAATAAAATAGCCGTTGGTCCTGAAATATTTCACTTACATTCAGGCATTGTAGGCTGTGTTGATGGAGTCGTATTCTCCGCCTTGCTGCAGACTCTGTGCATGTGTGTGTGTGTTGTGTGGGAGTATGTTAGCGTATGGACAGAGCCACACAGAGGGTTAGCGTGGAGGGGGACGCAGAGTTGAGTGTGAGGGGTGATGACAGTGACTCCTATGAACAATGCCTCTCTGCCCCTGTCCCACCCCTCTTATTCTCAGGCAGGCCCATTTGCAAGGAGAGTCCCAGGACCCTCTCAACCCAGTTTTCCCCATGGGAAATATCTGACATTAACCGTAGCACATGTTTGCCATATAACCCGTAGATTTAGGAGGGAAAAAAAAGAAAGAAAAAAAAAACATTGTATGAATGATGGATTTATGTATTAGCCTGATGAAAAGACATTTTATTCTTCTGTGGTGCATAAACTGTCTGGAACACACATACATTTGCACACACTTTACTATCAACGCTTCTTCTGACACCTGCACTACCCCAGGTATTGACACACACACACCCTCCCACCACCCCACCCTAAGCCAGGGATGTGTAAACATGGACCACATTTAGCCAGCACCATCTTTCTGTGTGACTCTCCCCCCTCACCCCACCCCACCCCCCAAAAAAAGGGAAGGCAAAGATGGGTGTTTCTGTGTATATTCTATGTTCTTAAGACAAACAAAACGCCGTGAATTGAACTATTTTGACCTTGCATTGTCATGAGTACGATGACACTATTTAGCTGCACTATGAGAGCGTCACTTGTGGCAGGAAACCACTGGGTCTGGTCTGGGGTCAGGCTGGTTTGTGCCGTTAGCTGTCCTGTTAAAGCAACAGCAATACCCCTGGATGTAGGACTCTCCCCCCACCCCACCCCCACCTCGGTACGACTCATGGTTTCAGATCTTAGAGGACAACAAAAAAAAAAAGAGATATTTAAAAAAAAAAAAATCATGTTCCCATATATATTTTAGAAAGCTGGGTTAAGTGCTATATGCAAACAGAAAAAGATGTATGAAAGAATTATTATTTTTCATTATTACTTCTCCCTAATATGCAATGGAGTGTAGTGTAACAATGGTTGCAATCCTCTGTCACTTTAATGCTGTATGTGCACATTGGTTGCTGTGTGGATGTGGGTGCCGAGGCAACAGGACTTGACAATGATGGGAACTAATGGTTGTCACTCTGCAGCACCGCCGTGTTCCCAGACTGCCTTATTCGTTCTGGCCAATCACAAAAGCCCTTTAAATCCGGGGCCACAGCCACTGCCACAGGCTGACCACGCTGTCGTCGGACGAATATCGCTGTTCTGTTTTCTTCTGCTTTTCCTCACTTTTTTTTTTCTTTTCTTTCCTTTTCTTTTCTTTTATTCTGCTGTCAGGTAGGATTTGGAGCGTGTAAATGGCATAATCATGTTCACATTTCACTGTCTGTTCTGTGTAACTGCTTCACCATTCAAAGAGTAAAAAAAAAAAAACAAACAGTTGTTTTCCAGTATAACCTGTTCATTTTTAAGAGCCGTATGATGCGACACTTGTAGCTGTCACTCTTGGTGCTTGGCTTATGCTTCATTGTCTTAATATTCCAAATAAAACTGTTAAGTGTAATCCACACTGGCCCATGATATAATATTGAGTATGTTTTTTTTTTCCCTTCATCGTTTCACCGCAGATGTGTCCTAGCAGTGAGTTGAGGATGTGATTTGAGGTTGTCAACACAGAAGTTGCTAACTTTGCATTTTTATTTTAAAGTTATTTTTTTGGCCTTTGTTGTATAGTGTTAGTGAGAGAGAGACAGGACAGTAGGGGAGAAGAATGGGAGAGGACATGTGGGAAAGGGTCATGAGCGGGATTCGAACTCATGACCTCCACATTGGGACTGTAGCCCTGCACATGGGACGCCAGCTCAACCAGGTGAGCTATAACGGTGCCCCTAACTTTACATTTTGATGCCATCACATGTAAATCAAAAGGTTGCAAGCTTTTCCTTTAAGTAGCACGTTTGTCCCTTTGTTAGGTAGTGAAACTGACTGAATGGTTCAGAAAAATGTTGTCAAAGAAGTTTTCGGAGGTGTGCAGCAGAACATTGGCACAAATAGCGCAAACTTTCCTTTTTGAAGAGTGATTTGACTTTAAAAGCAGTTCCGACAGGTTAATGTAATGAACCCATCCATCATCTATGATACCTCAGTTTCATGCGCAGTAAAGTTAAGACGTGATCTTAACAAACTAATCCCACAAAATAGCAAAATCCTGACACGCGACTACATTCATTCTGCATCTTGAAAGTTCTGAAGCTGCTTGACTTGAGTAAAGCAAGAAACCAAGCTGAGAAATGATTGATAGAAAATTGATAGAATGCCACCTGGACTGCAAGTCCTGCTGGGAAAACCAACCAGAAACAATGAGATCTCAGTCTGTGGTTCCCATGGGGGTGCACACTGAATTTGAATATTAGGGAGGGGAGACACTAAGCAGGTTTCTGGTAATCCCTCTCTAGGAAATTTTGAGCATCAACCTTTTTTCATTTTGGTCAATCTTTATGCACCAAATAGTACCTTTTCTGGATCTGATTGAAATATGTGCGTGTAACAGAAAACACATTCAGGCACATTTTTATGAATAAAGTTTCTTTCATGTCTATATATGGAGAGCCAAATGTATGTGTTGTAAATATTGAGGGGGATGCATTCTCTCAGCTGACTGTGTGTGGACCCCAAAAAGCACAGAAACAGTGTGACCGGTGGGTGGTTTCTACCAGTATTTTTAAAATAGCCTTTGCAGCAGTAATTAATAGGATATATAAATAAATAAGGTTGGAAAAAGTCAAAGCATTTTGCTCACCTATGATATGCAGCTGCTGATTCAACCTTTTTCCCAGTGGACAGACGACCCCTGCAGCCCTCCCTCCCCGCTCCACCGTACCCACAGTCCAACTCCCTGACTGTGCCCAGCAGCAGCAGCAGCGGCAGCAGCTATGCAGACAGACACGAGCAAGCTGCCTGGAACTTCACAGTTAAGTATTTGTTCATTTGAAATGAAGTATAAATAGCATGTGGGTTATCGGTTTCAAGTTAGCTACCCAAGGCTTATGAATAATTGACGCTCACCCAGGAGGAGGGAGAGGGTGAGGGCAGGCTACCATACAGGGCAGGAAACATTCAGTGGGCTCAAAGAGAGGACAAGAAAGCTGCAAAAGTGGGTAACAAACATATAAAAATGGACTACAGTATGCTCATATCCATGCTCTCAAAGCATAGCCTGAAGTCCCCTGTTAAACCCTCTGGCACTACCAGAATAGAAACCGAGCAATAACTCGACAGCAATAAGTTGTGGAATCTGGAGTTGGATGTGGGTCACTGGCGAGAGGAGGAGGAGGAGGAGGAGGAGGAGGATGAAAGTGCAGATGATGAAGGTCTTGTCAGTTTATCAGCAGGCCAAACCCTCCAGATTTCATCTCGGTGTGGCCCAGTCGGTTCTGTCTGAGACGCCTCCTTATCAGCGCCGTGTTCTGGCCTCCGCTGTACGCGCTGCTCTATCTCTGGTTGGCACATTGAGCCGCAATGAGCAGTTATTGTTGGCAGCAACATCAAGAGACACGTCAAGGGTGAGAACCATCGCGCTGCTATCAAGATTAAAAGGCTTTTTTTTTTTGTCTGCTGTTTCCTGAGAACATTGTTTTGCGATTCTATGCCATTTGAAAATAATTAAGGTTCACACATTAATACAGGACTTTTTTGGTATACGACAAAATGAAACGGCCCGACTTCACATGCAAGGTCCTCTCCAAGCCTTATATATTGTGGGAAAGTTTTTAGTGGAGCAAGAGTTTGACATTTTAGGAAATACGCTTACTCACTTTCTTGCCAAGAGTTAAGGGGAGAGAGATTGATGCCACCCTCATGCCTGTAAGACAGAGCCAGCAGTCAGTTAGCTCAGCACAAAGACTGGAGAGGGAGGACAAGCTTTGTCCAGCAGTCATAAAATCTGCCTACGTGCACATCTACAGTTGAAGAATATGCTGCCGTATAGTTCTATCCCTGTATCTTGTCATTTATTCAGCATTGGAGAAATTACAATTTACAATGGTGGAATTTGAACAGGTTTGCACCTGTCCTGCCTGAAACCTCAGGAACATACTTTTTGTTTTTTCAAAAGAAAAAACTGAAAAAATAAATGAACCACTAGGTTGTCTTAGCTCAGCACAGACTGGAAACATGGGGGGAAAGCTCGCCTTGCTTTGTCAGGGATAACTTAAGTCAACCTTCCAACTCTTCTGACGTATTATCACATCTAATCTTTTTTTGTTCAATCTGTTTAAAAGCTGAAGTGATTTTCAGGACCAGTTCACATGTATATTAGTGAAAGGCTGGCTTTGACTTTGCACTTTTCGAACAATACAGTAGAAGGTTACTGTAACACCGTGTCACTTCCTGTAGTGTGCCGAGTTCAGTGGAAGGACGTAACACAGGATCTCTGGAGAATGTAGAACTTCCTACTGCGTTTCAGCACCTTTGATGGAAAGCATGTACGGATCAAAGCGCCTCCAAAGTCCAGCTCCGACCGCTCCAATTAAAACCGTTTTAGTTATAAATTATTAAGGTGTAAATGACTAATAATCTCTTTGTACAGTCTCCCCTCATAAACAAGTATTTGTTTCATGCACCATCTGTTTTCCTGTTTCATACTCAGTTGGCAGGCTGGCAGTGCAGACAGTTCGCACGGTCACAAATTTTTGGGCTGCACACGGACGTCTGCAGCAGGGTCCGTGCAGACTCTCTTGGACTTGGGTGAATGGCGAACGTTACATCACACGTGCTTTTGTGGACACGCAGACTTAAAGAATGGGCCTAAATGTTGCGCGTCAGATTAGTGGGGGTGCACAGGTACGGACACCCAAGAGTGATTGTCTTGATTATTGCCCAGTGTATACAGCGGCTATAATCTAAGCCACATGTCTCTAATCCTGGTCCTCGAGGGCCACAATCCTGCATGTGATCAGGATTGTTATCAGGCTTCTGCAGAGCTTGATGATGAGCTGATCATTTGAATCAGGTGTGTTGGAAGAGGAAAACATCTGAAACATGCAGGATTGTGGCCCTCGAGGACCAGGATTCGACACCCCTGATCTAAGCCATAAGGTGCCAAAACACACAACTGTAAGTCCATCTATAGTAATGTCAAAATCATCTTGTGAAACTTTGTGTTCTTAAAGTTGACAAAGCTTTAGCAGATGTTTGTATGTGTTTTGCTTTGTCTGACATCCCATCAGGAGACTGTAACTAACATGATTTATGGATGGGTTGCATAAAAAATGAGATGAGCATTATGCTGTAACACTAAGCAGTAGTCAGTGAATGCAGCATGTCATCGCATTTCAGTGACAGTTTACTTTTTTCCATTCGTGATGTTTCAGTGCTCGATCTTCATCAGATTTCACCTGATAAACATGTCCCACTATAATGTTGCCAATAACTATGGTTTTGTAAGTTAGAGAGCATGTGACAGTCTGTTTTGAAAATCGATGTGTGAAGAGTTCTTCATCTTAAACCATGAGCTGCATATCCAACACCTTGCTACAGCTCACTAGGCTAACTTCTAGGCTGGAGTCTTCATGATGACTTGGCTGCCTGGGTCTCCGTTGTCTTCCTGGGTGTCTGCAGCTGTGGAGGCTGTGCTCCTGCTGGTGTTCAACTTCAGATGCCCCAACCATTTTCAAATACTCATGTAATGACAATTAGACATTTAGCAAACACTGTAGACTGAAGTTGTCCAGTCGTAGTTGGAGGCAGCAGCACAGACCAACATGACACACTTTGCAGTTTCAATCACTGTGTTACTGAGTGCATTGCTTTCTTCTTCCCCAATCACCAATTAATAGCAACATATTTATCATTCAGATTTCAACTGAGGGTGGAACGCATGCCTTTGCACCCCCGTAGAGCCTGGTGATTTCACGGGGGTTACGTTCCAGACTATTTATAGCAGGGCTTTATACAGATTAAACAAATAAAATGAGTTAATAGCTGAGAAGTAAACGTTAGTGAGAGTTAATAGATGCTGTTTGGCAGATTTTTATTACCTTACACCGAGCCAGACTAGCTGTTTTAATGCTAAGCTAACTGATTACTTGCTAAAACTCCATGTTCAGTGTTTAAATGTGAGGTGGAACTCGCCTTTTGCCAAAAAACTCGAACTGTTTCTTGTATCTGTAATATATTTGGTAATGAGGTCAGTGTTATTCTGTATTCTTAGCTTTTACTATACCAGTAATACCTGCGAGGCCAGTTTTACGGGCCCGTTTTCTGAAATCATCAGCAGCGAGTGGGGAAAACTTTCCTCCTGTTACACTCTCTTGGGCTCATCTGACTCCTGTTTCACTTGTGAACTAGTTAGGCTTTTCATTTCCTTCACTTCTCGTGCTCTGAGCCCACATTTCTCCCCACACACACGGTGCTAAGCCCAGAGCTCAACGCAGATACACACCACATGGCTCCCCGCACGTTATCTGCACGCAAAGTACAGTAACGCCGGCGAAGGGAAGAGGATGAGGAGGAAGAGCACGGGGAGCGAGGGATAGGACAGGGAGTGAGTAAAAGACACTGCTGCTGCTGCTTTCCCGGCTTTGGA